GGGGTCCCAGCTCTGGGGTTTCTCGGGGGGTTTCTCGAGGGATTTTGGATTTTTTTCGGGGGGGTTGGAGGGTTTTTCAGGGAGTTTGGGGTCTCTCCGGAGTCTTTTGGGGTCGCAAATCGGGGTCCCGGCCCTGGGACCCCTCGGGGACCCCTCGGGGTGGAGCCGGCTCGGGGCGGGGCCGCTCCGGGATCGCTCTTGGTCAGCGAGGCTGGGGGACACCGGGGCGGGGACAGCTCGGGGACAGCTCAGGAACACTCAGTGTCACACCGGCGACACTCAGAGCCGGGCTGTGACACCCGGGACAGCTCGGGGACACTCAGTGTCACACCCGGGACAGCTCGGGGACACTCAGAGCGCGCTGTGACACCCGGGAAGGGTCGGGGACAGCTCGGGGACATTCAGTGTGACACCCAGGACAGCCCAGGACACACCCGGGACAGTTTGGGGACACTCAGAGTGGGCTGTGACACTCGGGGATACTCAGTGTGACACCCGGGACAGCTCGGGGACACGGGAACACTCAGTGTGACACCGCGGACAGCACGGGGACACTCAGACCACCCCCAAAACCGCCACCAAAGTCCCTTTTGTCACCCCCCAGACCTCWCCCGCAAAGTTTTCGTGTTCCGCAACGACCCCAGCGACGCTTTCGTTGTCCTCCACGCCCGCCTGGAGCGTCCCCTGAACAACTTCACCGTGTGCCTCCGCTCCTACACCGACCTGAGCCGCCCGCACGGGCTCTTCTCCTACTCCACCAAATCCCAAGACAACGAAATCCTGCTTTTTAAACCCAAACCCGAGGAGTACCGCTTCTACGTGGGCGGAAAATTCGTCGCGTTCCGCGTGGGTGAAAATCGCCGCGATTGGGAGCACGTTTGTGCCAGCTGGGAATCCAGCACGGGAATCGCCGAGTTTTGGCTCAACGGCAAACCGTGGCCGAGGAAAGGGCTRCAGAAGGGCTACTCGGTGGGCTCGGTGGCCGCCATCCTGCTGGGCCAGGAGCAGGATGGTTTTGGGGGAGGTTTTGACCCGTATAATTCGTTTTCGGGCGAGCTGAGCGATGTTTTCCTGTGGGACGCGGCGTTGTCGCCCGATAAGATGAGAGCGGCTTTTCTGTCGCTGCGCCTGCCGCCGGCGCTGCTGGACTGGAGGAGGTTGGGCTACGAGATCAGGGGGGATGTGGTGGTCAAATCGCGGCTGCGGGAGGCGCTGGGGGCGTGAGGGGACACGGGGTGGCTTTGGTGGTGGCTTTGGTGGCCCGCTGTCCCCTCCTTGTGGCCATCGTCACCTGTGTCCCCTCCCCCGAGTTGCCTCCCGGTGGTCACTACGAGATCAAGAGGGACGTGGTGGCCAAATCGCGGCTCCGGGG